GAAGGAGTTTCCCCCACTGTTATTCCCCAAATCAAAATTGTTTCTGTGAAGTAGGCATTTTCTTTTCTTTTAATAAGAAAATTCAATTTATCTTCCTTTTTTGTTAGCCAGTTTCTCCTCTTTGCCTTCATTGCCACAAATTCCCTAATCTCGTTATTTTTGCATGTTGGAAAAGCGTAATCATCCGAGCCATGAAATCGAAGACAACAGCATCACTTCCAGGGAGGTGACTTAAGTCAGAGGAATTAATTCTCCCAGCAGACAGCCCTTATTTAGAACAAATGTGATTTTCAGAACTGAAGCTATGTATTTAATGAGGCTCTATGAAAACATATGTAGCCCAGAGTTGCTGAGAAATTCAGCCCTGTGCCGGAGAAATGCAGCAAGTCAGGAAAACAACATCCAACAGGATCATTCATTCAGTTCATCCCTCTGTTCCCTGCAGAGAAAACCCATCTCTGTGTTTCTGACCCTCAGAGATTGCTGCCCTGAACAAGGGGAATCAATGTGCATTTTTTGGGTGCCTGAATCTGGCCCACCCAAGGGGAGTATTTGAGGTTTAATCAGGAAAAGAGATGGTGTTTCCTCCCTCTCATTCAAAGGAAGCCAGCACACATGAGCAGGTAGACCTCCACACAACACAGGATTAAGACATGGAAGTCCTTGCCCTGGGATGTTGCAGATGTTGAGAGCTGTGGCTTTATTCTTTCCCTGGAAAAAGCTGAGCTCCCCCTTTTCAGCTCTGTGCCCCAATTTCCTTTCTTGCATGCTGTCTCTCTCTTTTCCCAGAGCAGGAACTGCCCTACTGGCACCCACACAGTAAAACACCAGGGGCATGGAGGGGGCTGCTGGACATCTAGATGGTGTAAGACCACATTCAGAGAGATTTCCAGAGATTTGTGGCTATGAAAATCCATTTTTCCAGCAAGGACACAACAAAAGTTTTGGGGCAGGTTGGTATTTTCAGACAAAGGATAAGAAAGCAAAGCCATTTGTAGACCATCATGAGGAATGAAGCTGGAAAGGAAACCTCAGGGAGCTTTCTGTGCTCTGCTGCCTGGGCTTAGCTCTCTGGAGCAAACAGCTCTGCCACTCCCAGGTGCAGCTGTAGCTGCCAGATAAAGGTTATTTTTCTCCAGTGAACTCCGTGGCCCTGTGAAAGGCTCCCAGAAAACAAAGCTGGCTACTGATTTTCACCAGCAGCTTTGGGGTTCAGGCAGCAGTGATGTGCCCACCCCTGAGTGAGCTGCAGAAGCCAGACCCCCTGGGTTTGCCAGCAGCACGTCCTTCCCACATGTTAAATCTGCCTCCAAATGGAGACTGCAGAGACCTGGAGACAGCAAAGGGGATAAAGCTCCAGCTGCTTGCCATGGGGGAAGGAGGATCAGCTCAATGACAGCACCATGTTTGCCTGGCTCAGCTGGAGATAAAAGATAACTATAGATCATACTGATTTCTCATGCTGAGGTAACAACAGAGAGGGATTTGTCTCCAAAAGAAGCATCTTTTCTGCCTACATACCAGCAGAAGAAATCATTTTTCTGTCTGACTTTATAACTTCATCAAATATCCATCTGGCACCAGGCCAGAGCACTATGTATGAAGTTGTATTCGCTGCCACAGCAGATGGATGTGAGAAACTCCAGTGAAGATTTCAGCAGGAGAAACCTACTGAGATGGTTTGGGGAGGGTACACAGATCTTCAAAGGCATGGCTCATTAAAAGCACTGTTGCAGAGAAATCTGGCTTTTTGGATTTGATTGAAAACAGGGGGTCTGATAAGGAGCTGTAGTCCCAAAGCTGCCTTTGAAGTTTGGTCCTTATGTGGAGACAGAGTTCAGCGAGATCTTTTTTTAGGGGTGCCTGGAGGATTGAGTAACAGAGCAACACTCAAGTGTTTGGGTCAGAAATTTCATCTGGAACCTGGGAAGTTTATTTCCTGGCAAAAGCATCATGAGAACCAGTGTATTCTCAGGACAGGCCAATTTGAGGAAATCAAAATTTCCAGATGACTTTGGGCTCCCTGGGAAAGCTCCTGGGAACTCTGTGTGTGAATGCCTTGAAAAACATCATCTGTCCTCCCAGGCCTGGAGGAGGTCTGTGCTCTGAGGATTCCACACCAGGTCAGTGTGTGCAGGTCCTGCAGAGACAGGCTGAGGGTGATGATGAGTAGCAGGATTGTGCTGGTGGAAACAGTGAAATCTCCTCTGTCCAGGCTTTGTAAAAGAGATGGAACAGAGCCATGGGAAGGAGCCTGTGTGGAGCAGTCCTGGCTGACCAGCCCTGGTGGCCCAGCTGCCTTCTGCGGCCTGGGGGGTTCACTGTGGTCACCTCCTTGCTGGAGCTCTCTGGGTCAGCACTGGGGGCAGCTGGGACTGCAGAAACCTCCAGACTGGCCACCACTGCATGGGGTCAATCTCCGCATGTGGGAATCCAGGGCTTCCCTCTGGCTGCCCTGGCAGGTCTGGGACCCTGGCAGGGGTCAGGAACCCCCCTGGACAGAGCCCCGAGAGACACTGTCTGTGATCTCTGTCCATGGAAAAGTGTTTTCAATCTTACAGGATGAATCACAAGCTTTGAGTGTTTGATAAGAGTAATAATTAAATGTGGCACGGGTGCAAAAGTAAAATTTTAGGCTTCTAGATTAGGGGTTCAGAGGGGACAAGATGGAGGAAATTGGGTGTGTCTTGTCCTTTTCCTCCTTCTTCATGCCCTCCATGTTTCACTGTAGTGTTGGCATTTTTCTATTGGTTTAGGCTGGGGACACACTGTTCAACGTAGGTGACAGATATTGGCACGTTATTGTAAATATAGCACACGTCATTTCTGGTATATAATGTTTGTAACATCCCACTGAGGGCAGAGCCCCACACGCTGCCCTGCAGGACAGACCTGCGGCAGGGCAGCAGAACATGTTAGAGAGAAACAGAATAAACAACCTTGAAACCAGCACAGACGAATTATGGCTTCTTCTTTGGCAGCGGGGCAGAAAGACAGAGACTTTCTACAATCTCGGAATCACCAATACCCACAGATTCTGACATCCAAGGTCTTCAAATTAATTTTGAAATTAAAGAAGTCAAGCTCCTGGCTTCCTCAGGAAGTGTGTGAGAGCAAATTGTGCGAGGCAGCAGCAGGGAGCTGCTTCACATCCTTGAGGCATTCAGAGGGCTGTGCTGCTGGAGAGGATGGACATCTGCTGTGGCTTCACATCACTCTGGGGACATGTGGCAGGGCCACCCCAAACTAGGAGCTCCTTGGAGCCATAAGTCTGAAATCCAGGAGTTTTAAACAAATTCTCAAACCTCTCCTAGAGCATGTTGTGGTGGGGGTGCTGGCGGTGTCTGAGGGTCTCTCCCACGGCTGCTGAAAGCTCAGCTGGGCTGACAACATCTGACAGTTGGAGAAAAACAGCCTTTCAACATTTAAATTGAGCACATTTGCCATGGACTCAATGGAGACTAATGACATAAAAGCTCATTTTATTTTTTTTAACAGAGAGACTCTGCAAATGGAAATTTCACATTTTCATGGATGTTTTTGCTGTTTCAGGGACTTCTTTTCCCCCTTCCTTTCCTTATCCAAGGAAAATGTCCATTTTCTTGCATAAGACAGATCTGGAAGGTTTGTACTTCGCTGTGGACTTGGGAGTCCTGCAAAAGAATGGCTGTTCAGGAGCATTCATGGAGCTCCTGAGCCAAAATCAGAGGAATAAGGCAGAGAGAAGTAAGGGCTCCTGGGCAAAGGTGAGCATTTTACAGGAGGGAAGGATGGAAGGAATCAGTCAACTCAGCCCATTGAAAGAAAAGCTCCAGGAGATCTGCAGCAAACCTAAAATATTTCAGGGATAAACATTTCCAGGAGGTTAAAAGCCATTGTTGATACAAGGATAAAAGGAAATAATCCAGCCACAGATAAATTTGGGCTGGAAATTAGAAAAAGCTAGTTACATTTCATAGAATGTTTCTGGTTTATTCTTCCAGATGGAAAGAGAAGCTCAGGTTAGTGCAGAGCAGCTGCTGTAGCAGGAATTCCTGTAGCAGGAATGCTACAGGCTGCAAGTCCAGGAGGATGGCAGTGGATGCTCAGCAAACTCTCTGCTGTGCTTTTTGCTCTGGCCTCACTTTTTAAAATGGAAAAACCTTTCCAGGGAGCTTCAAAAAAATCCTTTCTGAAGGAAAAAGGTTTTCATTTTACACACATTGTCAGTGGAGCCTTCTTAGCCAGCTAATTTCTCAGGTCTTTAACCAGCCAGGCTGCCTGGAATGGAGAGATTTCCTCTCATCTCAAATCACTTGGCTGCACATGGGAGAGAAGCCCTTTGGCGAGGTGAATTTGCAAGGCTCTCAAATCCTCTTTATTCTCACTGTGCCATCCCTCCTTGACTCATCTCCAGGAGACCATGTTGGGCTAAGCCCAGAATGAGCACGGAAAGGTGATGGCACCAACCCTGGACACACACAGGCTCACACAGATACAGCTCCCTCCCCTGCACCATAAATTAAATATCATCTCTACCCAGGACTGGGGAGGATCAGCTGAAATAATCCAGTCCAGCCCTCTCTGATTCAGAGACACTGAATCAGAACAGTCCGCAGTCCTCACCCACCCCAGCCCACAGCTCTGCTCCTCCTGTGTCCCTGAGATCCCAGAGGCCACAGTTCACATCTGGCCTGTTCAGGTACCCAGCTTGGGGTTAAACACACACCTGCAGCCAAAAATGGCTGGATTTGGTTATTCCTGTGTTAGTCACAGCAATGGTAGTGGGAGTCTGCAGTGGGACTAGTGTTAGGCAACCAGGACTCCAAGGAAAAGTGGCATTTGAGAGGCAATGTGAATTCTTAGGGACACTTCTTCCTTGCAGCTGCTTGCACTGTCTGGGAAAATAAGCAGGAGAGTGAGGAGAACAAGGCAAAATGAACACAGACAGGATTGAGGCACACACAGTCTGGGGATAAAGGAGAAAGTGGTTGTTAGAATGAAAAAGCAGGCAGGCCAAATGCTTTCTGAGTGCCATTATTTTAATGTGTCTCTCTTTTCCAAATTCCACATTGCACACACAGAAATAGCAATTTTTAAAAAAAGACTCACACCAGAAATGCTGACTGGGAGAACTAGGAACTCTCCTTATCTCCCACCACACAAGGAGGCACAAGATTCACAGCAACATCAGGCACAGCTGATCATGGGGGTGAGCAGACAGACAGACGTGGAAATTACAAAAGACAGAAGAAAGCAAGAGCAGGAAGGCAGCTGATGTTCTCATGGCCACCTTGCTGGGCAGGCAGCTGGGCTCACAGCTTGCTGGGCACACCCACCACACCAGGGCATCGGCATCTCACTGGTCCTGCACCTCTGCCCGCCCAGACACCACCTCTGCTGTTGTCATCTCTTGGTCAGGCATTGTATTATCCACCTCTGGTGGCATTTCACAGGGCAGCTGTGGTAAGGAGTGATTCCAGGATACTCTCCAGTCCTGGCTTTCAAGGCTTCAGTGAACAAAGAAAGGAATTGTGTGGTTATCACTTGATTTTACTTATTGGTTCCTAGTGCTCAAAGAAAACTCTTGCAATAACCATATTCACATGGAAAATGTCTCTAAAAGACTTCCAAGCTGTTGTATGCTAGTGAGGCCATCAAGCTGGGAATCAAACCTACACCAGCAAGCTGTTCTGCTTAATTGCTACAGCACTCACGGGCAGGCAAAAATCGAGGGAGCTTTTTTCTCAGCACAGCAGCCCCTGCATTCCAAAGGGCAGGCAGTGCTGGGGGCAGAGCTCCCCGAGGAAATGAGCACTCAGGGAGATCACACAGGGATCAGGCCGTGCAGACCCATCCACCTCAGAGCTACCTCCTCATCCAGGTGTGCCAATACCAGCCCTGCCCTTGGCAATGCTCATCCTTACAGCAGCTTTCCAAGGGGCTGGGAGCAGGTGCTTGCCTCTCACAGCACAAATCAATGCCTTGCCCAGGACCTGGAGGCTGTACCAAAGACTTGAACCTGCATCTACCCAGCCCTACACAAACACCCTTCTCCCAAACCTGCCTCTTCTCCTCCTAGTCAGTACAGACCCGCCCTGCTAAAATCAAGATGTAATTCCGTGGTGGAGAAGGAGCTGTGGGAGTCAGCAAACTGCTGGAGGACTCAAGGACTCACATTACAACTCTGTGGTTAACCTTTTGTCAAGGAATTACTTCCATTCAACCTCATCCTCCCTGGGCTCATGCAGGGACCATCAGCTTCCCAGGGGCTCCCCAGAGCAACCAGGACACCTCCTGCATGGCCTCTGCAAGCACCATGGCCTTTCTCTGCAGCTCCCACATGGCCACACGTGGTCCGTGGCACAGCACCCACATGGCTCTCACAGCCTGGCCACACAGAGGTACCTGCTGGCCAAGGGGAGCCTTGACCATGCCACAGCACCTCTCTCTCCTCCAGCACTTCCCCTTCAGCCCTCCCACCTCTCTCTACGTGGAGTTCTGATGGATAAAACCTCAGCGCTGTGTTGTCCTCAGCCAAGCAAGCAGCTGGTGCTGGGCTAAATGGGAAGTGTTTCCTCCCTCTGGCTACAAGAGATGTGAAGTACTGTAAGAGAGAGATTATTGGAGGGAACATGACATGGAAAACACATCTCAGAAAACCCAAGTGATGGTGAGGGCATGGGCTGTTTGCTGACCCTTCTAACCTGGGAACTTTGAGCCATCAAAGGGAAGTACTAGGATGCAGAATGAAAATAAGCCAAAGTGTGCAACTCTCTGTTGCAGGATCACAAATGATGAGAACTGAGAGACAGTCAAGGTGCAAATGGATTATTTCATGGGGAGAAATCCATTCAGGGCTGCAACACACAGGCACCATTTCCAGCTCAGGAAGCTCCTAAGCAATAGCACATTGGAAGCTGGGAAAGCACTTCTGGCAAGCAGCATCCTGGTTTCCCCCTGTCTTTATGTCCCTCTCCAGACCTTGCTCTCAGCCTTGTCATATATTGGATTCTGGGCTAGCTGGGCCACTGAAGTGATGTGCTACGGTCCAGATGATTTCCTTGTCACTCAAAGTCCCAAAAACCTCATTTCAAATATAGAGTTACCACAAACAGAGGACCTGTGCAGCCATTCCTACTCAAAATCCACTCTCTTGCTGCTGCACATACAAGTCCTGCCTAGCAGTGCTTGTCCTTCCTCATACTGGTCCCAGATCCCACATGTGCACAGGGGTCAGAGCAAAGCCCTTCAGCACAGCACCGTGTTCCCAGCCAGAGTCACCCAGAGAAGAACACAAATCCTTTGCAGCATTATTCCATCAGATTTGGGTCTTTCTGAGGCAGAGGGGGTGTCTTTGCTTGGAACAGCTCTTGATAAATTCTCTTCTGCAAACTCATCCCACTGCTTTGCAAGCCCATGAGCGCACTGAGCAGCCCATTTCCTGCAGCAAGGATCCACTCCTGGGCACTGGACCTCACAGTCACTTCAGGGAAGGTGGTGCAGTCACCATCTTCCAGCACAGCTATTCTGAAGTCCATACAGTTATCTACCCCCTGCCCCGAGGCGTGTCCCAGGCCAGCCTTCCACAAAAATAAGGGAAGAATGTTGCCTAGTACTCGATACATAATCACGGCCCAAAAATTAAATTTGCAGGCTCCTGTTAGTCTCTGGTTACCACAGGAGCTTATCCCCAAGGATTCAGCCTGACTGATCTTCCAAGAAACACACTGTGAGGAGTAGCACAGCTGCAGCTCAAGCTCATTAACATGAGAGGAAAATACCAGTGCTGGTGGTGATCCTTGTGGTTCCTTCTCTTAGAATGGGCAGTAAAATCACTCGAAGGAGGGCAAGATGGGGCAGTAATTTTTGACATAGGAGAGATGGTTTCACACTGTTTTTCAGTAGCAAAGACATAGCTTTGTCCCTACTGCCAAAAAGTCTGGCACTAAAAATGCTGAAATCTTCTTGTGACTGAGTGGCAGCAAGCTGTAATTTACTGCATTCCTGCTTCTTTTATGTCCAAGAATTGCTTCACTTCTGAGAAGAAAGAGCTGTCATTTGTCAGTCCCATGTAGTCTCTCCTTCCAACTGTCACATTTCCACATTAGAGCAGACAAATTAATTCATTCCCCTCTTCCTATCTGCTCCCCAGAAATGGCAGCATATTTCCAGGAACAGAGATCATCTTTTCACAGCAGCATCATTACCAGTTTTCTTTTTAAAACTGTATAATGGGCATGTTTCAGCAAAAATCTGGATTTTTTTTTTCTTTTTTTCCCTGCTGTTTCATGCATCTCCGTTAAAGTGGTTCAGAGAGACCTGACTGTCTGCTGGCTTTTCACAAGCACCTTCCCCACACCTCTGACTGATGGCACATTTCCAGCCCACCCGCTGCAGCGTTTGGCTGGCTGCTGACAAAAGCTTTGCCCGGGTTTAGGACGTGGCCAGGTCCCTGGGCAGGTTGAGCTGGATGGCCTCTCCCCCTGTGCTGTATTTGGCCACTGGCCCGTTGCCTTCCATGGTGAAGAGTTTGCAAGCCTTGGCGTTCTCGTGAACCGGCGTGGACTTCTTGGAGGAGATGGGGGAGTTTGTGGGGCTGAGCTGGACAGCGGTGGTGTCCTGCACCGTGTGCTCGCTGGTTTCAATTTCAAAGGCCGTGTTGCCAGGTTTGATCAGCCCAATGTTAGAACCTGGTTTGGATTTCCGGGCCCCGTGGGCTGGGGGCCTCCGGCTGCAGATGCAGCAGGCACCGAAGAACGTGAAGGCCACCACCAATAAGATGGGTCCGATGATGATGGGAGGGTTGTTCACAGGGAGGAAGGTCCCAAAGGCAAATGCTCCCACTAAGGTGATGTTGATCCCTGCTAGCATGATGCAGAGTCCACAGGCACAGCAGAGAGCAGGGGAGGGGAGGCCCTGGGGTCGGGTCTTTTTCTGGGTGGGTTTTTGGGTCAAAGAGGCACTGCTCTTTTCACTGAACATGCTGGGAAGAGTCTTGGAGGTCACCTCAGTCCTCACAGGGTGAATGCTGTGTTGAGAAGGTGTTTTCCAGTCTCTTGTTGCCTTGAAATCCTGGAGAGGAATGAAGAAGCAGCTGTGAGAGCAATGAACCAAAGCACCTTTCCCCCACCATTCCTGGAGACCAGCATCTCCCCTGGGCTTGCTGGTGCCAGCAGCTAAGCACAAATCCCAGCCTGCTTTCAAGGCTGAACTCTCCCTGACTGTGGGGGCCACATGTGGTCACTCTCCGTGCTCCATGTCCTTTGCTATCCGTGTGGATGATGCCCAAGTGAATCCGAGCGTGCCGTGGCCAGAGCCTGGGCCATAGTGGTCTCACAGGGTTGTCACTACCCACACAACACCTGCCCAAAAGAACAGAATCCAGCACTGCCCTGAACATCCCTCGCTGCAGTACCAGGGTGATGTATTTTTGAATGGGTAACGGTCCACAATTGTGACAGAAAGGGGAACACTTTGCTCCATGTCTCAGTTCTCCAGTAACTGAAATGAGACATCCAGATTGCCTTTCCAGCCAGTGGGGAATAAAAGGGCCCAGAAGATGACCCAGAACATCCCCAAAAATGTCTATACTGGGAGGCTGCGCTGACTAGAGAGGCAACGCTGGGATCCCTCGAGCAGGTAACACTTGGATGCTGAGTGATACAAAAGCCATCCACAGAAACTGAATGACACCCTGTCAGTCACACAAGTAATAAAATGGAGCAAATGTGGGTGTTTTGTCAGCTAGACCATGCTTTCTACCATGCATCCCACCATCTTTTGTGTGATCACAGGAGACCCCACAGAAGGGGACTGGGAATCTTGTTTGCCTTGGCAGCCATAAACCCAAATTCTATAAGGCTTGAGCATGAGCAGTATCAGCTCCAGGATGGAGCTCATGGAAACTGAGATGCTGAAGTTGAAAAAGAGTCTGTGTGGGGATCTGTCTAGGACCCAAGGCAGTAACACAGCTCTAACTGGCAGTAGCAGCTTCTCCATGGAGGAGATTATTGGATGTGATGAGAGCTGGATTTGTGTTTGCCATACTTGCTGGGAAGTCAAATTGCCAGAAGCCAATTTGTCAGCAGTTTGCTGGTGATGTCTTTGATTTTACAGGCAGGAGAGCATTTCTCTTCCCAGCTGGATTGCAAACAATAGCAGGCTGTTCTTCCTTCCTCTCCTGCCTAGCTCCCTAGCTTCTTTCCTCCTCTCCTGTCAAATCCCTTTCAAAAGTATTGTCAGCAAAAAACTGATACCACTCAGTTTCTATGGCAAGAACCAAGAATCTCTGTTGTGTTATCAACACTATGTAGCCACTAAATTAAACAAAAAACAAAGCAAACAAAAACCAAACCTCCCAAAACCAAACAAAACCACAAAAACAAAACCAAAAAAACCCACAAAACAAACAAACAAAAAGCAAAAACAAATAATAAGCCATCACCCATCACACTGAAACACGCCAGTGGGATCAGCCGGGCATTTTCAACATGTTTCCTAGGTTATAAAATTTTATGGCAACTCCAGCTGAGGCAAAGCTCTCTGCTGCTCTGTCAGGTGTCATATCTCATTTCCTTGGCTTGGGTTTTTGTTTAGACCCAAATGTGTGCAGCAGTCAACTTTCAGCAGAGTTCCTATTCAGTGAGACAGCTGGAGCTGACAGGGACAGGTGCATCACAGGATTAAATCCTTCCTCAGCTGGGGATGCCTGGCTGGGGAGAGGCCTCTCAGCAGGCAAAGATTTTTCAGGATACTGAGAGTGTGTGAGAGAGAAAGGGCATTTTCTCCATCATCCAGGCTAACACACATCCATGTTTACCTAGCAGTGTCCTTGTGTTCTGCCTGGGAACCCTGGCATGCTGATGGGGCTGGAGCCCTGATTCGGCTTCTTTCACCAGCCCTGGACCAGCAGCACGATAGCTTCTGGTTAAAGACACGTTTTGGCACTGTTTGCAGACCAGCTCCTGCAGATGCCAGCCCAAACCTTTAGCACACAGAGGCTGCAGACAGCCCAGTGTGGCTCTTCTCCTTGGTTTGCCTCACATTCTCCCCAGGGAACTGTGGGGGGCTTCTCATGGTTAAAAAACATCACAGATTCACTCCATCAGCTTTCTTCCTCCTGGCTTCTCAGTGCTCACCTGCTCCCAGTCTGAAGGAATTCTCCCTCCTGGAAGAGCTGGGCAGCTGGGCTCCAGCAGGACACTAAACATTCCAGCTGCTTCTGCTCTTAGGCAAGGCATCACCAGAGGTCTGGCTGCCCCTGAGCTTTTTCAAGAGGAGCTTCAGCCTGTTGCCCATCCCATCCGTCAGTGGGCACCTGTAGCCACTCCAAAGAGACCCTGTTGTTTCTGGCTGCTTTCGGGGCTGCAGAGATATCACCCAGCATGGTCCCTCAGCTCATTTTCTCTGCCTGGTAATTTTTGTTCATCATTACAGATCCCTGAGCACAGGGGCTTAAGCTGGTCACACCCTCTCTGCAGCTGCACCAGAAATGTTCTGGCCATGCTGTGTCCAAAGCAAAACTTCTTTCCCCTCATCTTTTCTTGCAGCACCTACATGGGGTAATGGACCTTTCCCAGCAGAAAACAATGGACTCACTGGAGATTCCTGCCTGGAACCTCTCCCATCAGAAGATCGTGGAAGTCAAGCATGATTGCAGGGCCAGAACATGATTGCACACACACCACAGGGTAACTAACAGTACATAGAAATGTTTGGACTGGGAACACATAGAAAGTAGATCAGTGGTTGCTTTTGTCTCGATCTCCATATGAAACATCAGGGATTATACATGAGGGATGCCTGTTAGACCACCAGATGACATGGGGCTGAGAAAGCCAACAGAGCAGTGGAGGATAAAGCACAAAAGAAACCAAAGCCACAGAATGCCTTACACTATCCTCTACCTAACAGGGCCCCATGACAAAATAAAGTCCACGTTTATCCTGACTGTCATGTACAACAGAGCATCTTTGCTCTTCTGTCATCTCCTAAAGCACAGGCTGATGCTTCTCCATCCCCTTCTTAGCCACAACGATGGGCTGATGTGGGTCAGCTCCCACTGCTGACCTGCCTGAAGATATCTGGCAGCTTTTACCTTTCACTACAGTGAAATCAATGGCTTAAAAAATTACCAACTTTTCAGCCAAATTATTCTGATCAAAATTACCAACTTCTGTTCCATCAGGAGTGGAAAAAGTTCTCTTCAGGTTCTTTGTTTCAAACAGGTTCTTTTCTTATCAGTTAGAGTGTAGGTTTCTTCTCCAAACAATATTTCATCTTGAAATGCACTACTGCAAGCACTGCTGTGCAAAAATAAAAGCTGCACACTCAAGCTGGCATGGTGGAAATCCAGAGGCTATAATGATTCCTTCCAGGGGAATAGCCACCCCTCCCTATACTCTCAGGGGCACAAAGACAGACTTTCATCCATTTCTCTGAGAGTTCCTAGAGCTTGAAGGGCATACTGACATATTCAGCCAGCATTTTAGGCACATTGTTTAAAGCCATAGCAGCAGCAGCAGCAGCATGTACAGCTAAGCACGTTTCCCTCTTAGTTGTAGTGGAGAGAAATTGAGCTGTCATCCTTCCACACCTCTCAGTGCAGCAGTACAACGAAAATATTTGACAGACCACAGATGAGTCCCCTTTCCAGAGGTGTGATGGCACAGAAAAATAATGACAGTGATCAGCAAACTGAAATTGCAGTCAGACAGCTACACCCACCCCACGCACAGGCAGGCTCACAAACACACAGGCACGAAATATTTAGCTGCCAGGAGAAGCACGAGACTTTTTTTTTTTTCCTGTGCAAACTGCTGGGAAACTCTCAGGCAGGGCCAGAGAGAGCCTCGGTGTCTGGAAGGGGAGGATACTTACCTGGGCTGGAGCCTGGAGCCAGGGAAGGCGATGGAGAGAGCGGCTGCCCTGGGTCTCACCTTCACCCTTCAGTCGGGGATGACAAAGCCATGGCCAGTCCCAGCAGAACCGAGGCTGGAAGCCCAGCTGTGCTCTGCGGGGAGAAGGATCTCACATCCCTCCTCCCCTCTCGTCACCGAACTGGGGAAACTTTACAGGGGTGTCAGTCCTCGGCAGGGCTCCGCGGGCTCTGGGCGAGCTCCGCCGCTTTCCCCCCACTTTCTTCCTCCCCTCGGAGGACGATGCTGCTCTCCTTAGGCAGATGTGTGCCCAGCCGCAGCATCCCTGCCCCGCCGCATCCTCTCCTGCCTCCTCCTCCTCCCGCCGAGCCCGCGGTGCTGCCCGGGAGGCTCAGCCCACCGCCCACCGCTGTCCGGCACCGCTCGTCCTCGCCCCGCTGCTTTTCCTTCTTCCTTTTCTACTTCAAGGCTGCAGCTCCCGCCCCCTTCAGCTGACAGAGGTGCCCGGAGCAGAACAGCCCATTTTTCCCCCAGGGAGAGGAAAATCCCCGGAGCGCATCTCAGCGAGGGTCAGTCCCGGGGCGGGGAGCGGAGACAGCGCCGGATGGGAAGGAACGGGATGCGGGCTCGCCCAGGCTGCAGCGAGGCACGGATCTCTCAAAGGTTTGAAAAGCACGTAACGAGTAATAAAAAAAAGAAATACAGCCGGTGTGCGGTGCCTTTGGATGGTGGGGGGATGCCGGAGGGATTCGTGCGGGGAGTCCGTGCTGGGCGGCCGGCGGTGAGAGGTGCAATGTCCGGAGTGTGGGGAGGTGCTAATCAATCAGTCAATCAATCAATAAACAAATAAATATTGATGAATGAATGAATGAATAAATAAATAAAAAGCCCCCAGACGTAAAACTGATGTTTCAAACGAGCAAGCAGATCTATGCTACATTTAGAGGTAGTTGGTCTTAAACCACGCCTCATGCTAGACCCTGTTTTAAGCACAGCCAGATCTTAACTACCACATTAAGGGGTCAATCTCCGTCTCTTTGCAGAGCTGGTGAGCGCAGGGGACATGGCAAACTATGAGCTGAGCACTGGATGGAGTAGAGGTAATTCTCCCAGAGCTTAAGACGTGCTGACACTCAGCTGTTCTCCCCTGCTCTCCATGCTCCCACTGCTGTAACCAGCCTGGCTGCTGCCAGTGACAGCTGAGCACAGGCTCTTCTCCAATTTATTGCTGAAGAATCCTCTATGAACCAGGCTGGAGCTCACTGAACATCAATCACGTTCCCCTCTCTTTCAGATTGTTGCTTTCATGTGAGAGAGAGGAGAGAGGAGAAAGGTAACAGAGGTAGTGAAAAACAAAGGTCAAAGAGAGAAATCACTGAGGAGGCATGAACACTTCTCTCTGTTCTCCAGGCACCACTTCAGCCTTAGGATTCTTAATACAGCAGCATCTTCTACTGCACCCTATTGCATTTCACTTTACAGGTCATCCTAGAAATTCAGGCAAAACCAAACTTCACACAAAGGAGTTCAGTCTCTGCTGAGGAAGACAACTCTATTTTCTCCTGAGCTTGAGTAATGCCAACAACACACAGCATGGCTTGAGCAACAGGGCAGGAGGATATCACAAAACCAGCACTGATCAGATGTGTTGATTGCCTGAGCTTATAGACAGAAACAACTGGGAAATCTTGTTTCATACCTTCCCAGAGATGCGGTGTCTCCTCTAGGGATTCCCTGGACCTGTAACATAAAGTTCAAAATGGCTCAGTGTACTCAACCCTACCAGAAAAGTGATGAGAGAGTGTACAATGGAAGATTTTGTGGAGAAAATCTCCCCCTGGCATCTCTGAGAGAGACAGTTCCACGTGTGGCAGAACTGGTGCTCAGTGTTTGCTGCCTGCTGCTGGGTAGAGAACCAGAGTGGCTGAACTCATCCCTGGTGTAGCACCCCAGAGTCCAGCAGGAACACTGCAATGAGCCATGTTTGTGGAGGAACTGTGGCTGTCAGAGGGGATGAGACAGTCAGGGCCATTGATTGGAGCCCACTGCTCTCACATTGTGTAACAGCATTCATAAAGCTCAGGCTCCAAAGGGGCCAATTAATACTGAACGATCTGTCAGTTGTGCCCTAATTGCACAAAGCACTGATGAAGAAGGCTGCTCCTGCTTCCCTTTGGCTGTTGCATGACTCTCCATCACACTTTCTTCTTAATGGTCCACAAGCCCCCAAAAAAGCCTTTACTGAAATGTTACATTTTTCAGGCTCCACTGAAGCAGTAATTCTGTGTTTTGCATATGTGGCCCTGACAACTAGCAGACTGCATTCATGTGATTAAAACAACTGCTAATTCAAGAACTGAAATTAAAGGCTAGATTTCCCACCGGTATAAATCAGAGCAGATTCATTTCCTTGCAGAGCTTTGATAGCTCATGAGCATTCATGATTTGCCAAGGGGTTTCTGCCAGACTGATGGTTTCTAGCTTCAAACTTGCCAGGAACTAGGAAGCCCTGCCTTTTTTAGAGGAAAGATCCCAACCCTATGCTGACTAGAAATAATATTCCTCTGGGAGAAAATGTTTGTTCCCAGCTTCTGCTGAATTCAGAAATTAGTTAAGGACAGAAATTTATGAATGTGAGGAAACATTTCCTGCTTGTCTTTTCCCACTGTCAGTTCCTGACTCTGGTTTCAGCCCTAAGAAATCTGTCTCAGGCACCCTTGCACCCACCAAGGCTGGGCTTTGGTGCCACCACATCCTGCCCTGAAGCAGGTCAGCGTGGTGAGTGCCACAATACGAAGCTCTTGGACTTCACACTGCTTACGAGGAGCTTTTCTCCACGTGAGAATGCCTGAAAAAAGGTGTGAAGGGTGGGAATATTCCATAGAGGTTTCAAAGGATTTAGGTTGGGACTGGTCCTTGGGGGAAGGCACACAAGCAGCATTCATGAGAACAGCAGCAGGCCAGCAGCCTGATCCCTCAGCACGACAGGAGCAAAGTGCAGAGCCCATTCTGCTGCCTGCTGAACTGTGCCCATCACAGAGAGCATCAGGGAGTTTGTATCCCTTAATTAGATCATTAGACAAAGGTCACTGCAGAAACCTCCCCCTGCAGATTTCCATGAGGTCTCCAGATCTGGCACCTCTCTGTGAGATTACAGTTTAATTGCCTCTTAAGGGAAGGAAATGCCATGCTGAAGCTGCTGTTGCTCCAAACCAACTCTAAATGCCACCATGTCTGTGTGAAAGTTTGCACTACGTCACGATCCTCAGTGGCTCATGGCTCTCTGCTCTGTGCTGCCTCTGAAATTCAGAAGAGGCAGAGGCCAATTTCTGCAATGTTTATCTGTCTATAGCATCAAAAAGAAGGCAAAAAATTTAGTATTTGTCATTCCTAGAGGCAGCTGTGAAATTGCTATGCAGAAGATTTAAACCCATGGAGGACACACCTCCTTGTACATTGTGTAATTAAAATCACAGGACTCTACTGTGGACAGCGCCAGCATTAATGTGCTCAGACCTAGAACACAGACACAGCTGGACCTGTCAAACACAACAGAGCAGCTGCAGCTCCAGGCACACGATGTTATCACTGGGAATGACCCGGGGAGGAGATCTTGCTCTAGGTTTGCCACTGTCCTCCTAATCTGTGATTCTGAGAGCTGTTGAGGCAGAATAATAGGTACCACCAGCCTGACATTCAGCATCACTAAAGCTTTGCCTCTACCCTCTGATCTACTGGTCTACCAGAACACTTCTGTGGTTTATTATGCTTTTTAAAATAATTTGGAGATAGTTTTTCCCCATCACACAAACAAAAAAACCCAAATCAACTAAACAGACTTCCAGAATTTCAAACAGGTTTCTCCTTCCTATGACATCTTCTCACAACTCTGAAAGGTCAGTGGACAGGAAACATCTGTGCAAGTGGCTGTCCTGGTACACAAACAGCTCAGGAGTTTTTTATAAAGTTTTCTCAAACAGGAGGAAATTAGTGAGTTAGTTATCAGCCAGGGGCTAATGTTTTTAATTACCTTACAGGGAGGGTTGGGTCTGTTCTGTTTAGCTCTCAAAGGTTCCCACTGACAGTCTAATTAGCAAGCGGCATCACAGGAAGAGAAGGCCTGAAGTTACGTGGTTTTATTCACCCAGGAGGCAAACACCCAGTTCATCCTCCTCTGTCACATCATGGTTTTCTCTGCCAGCCAGACCACACCAAGGTGCAGTTGATCTGGAAGACACAAAACCACACCCTGTGCCCATCAGTAGCTCTACTGCATCATTTCAAACCTGTTCAACAGGCACTTCAGTCTTGCATCTTCTTCTTTGAAAGAAGGGCTGGTAGAGATTTTAGCTGAAGGACTGTTTGTCCCTCATAAACTGAAATCAGAGTGTGCTTCGCATCTTAGAGATTATACAATGGATGTTGCATGTTACATATTGTAACAGTTGTTCCTTATTTTTCCCTTCCTCTCCAGGAAGAATACACAAATACATCTGACCTGGTTTTGGGTATCACCACAAGAGCCACTGATGTACACGAGGCCCCAAACATGAGGCATCAGGTGAGCAAGGAACTGTCCTTCCAAGAGGATTTATGCTCTGCTATTGGGAGTATGCCTCAGGTGAATTTGAAAACATTCCCCAGGATGGGATCCAGGTGGCATCACAAACCAGCACTGGAATTTTGATGATGAAGAAAAAAAAGATGATGGAATCTGAGAGAAAGCAAATAACCATTCTTGAGGCTGAGCCCTACACACAGGGAAAGGCCAGCCAGCCATGCCACATTCTGACTTTGGATGATGGACCACATGAATCCATCATCCTCTTGGGAACCAATTCCACACAGGATCCATTATCCTGCCCACAGAGCTTTCCTGTCCATCCAGGCACTCCAGTACCCTTTTGAGCAAGGCACTGCTGCCCAGTTCAGCCATGCACAACATCAGATCCTGACTGCAAATGTGCTCTTGGAAGCCTCAGATGCAAATGTGTTCACTTCTCTCATCCCTGTGGGGAAAAGCAGACACACGGTGATTTACACCAACAGAATCAATTTCCCAGTGGAAGCAGGCCAAGATACTATGAATAAAATGAGGAATCATAGCTTTCCACATTCAACCTGTCCCTGGACGTGAAGAACCCCCTTTGGAACAGATCTGCTGCTGCTTTGTGAGCCAACAAAAGGAAAGTGAATTTGTGCCTGTTGTATCCACCTGATGGTCAACTTGTAGCATGCTGCCAGACCACAAGAGATACTAATTACCAGCAGCACAAATCACGTTACTCTCGCCAGTTTGGATTCCTGGAAAATCTTGCTTTGAGGGATGTCAGACTCAACATCATGAACAGATGGTGTTTCTGTCTGAGGAGGAGGCATGTCCTTGATCAGTCTGTCACTGCTTAGGGTGCTGACATTCTTGCTTCTCATCCAAAAGTCTTCACCCAAGGGCTGAGGCTTTACAAGGCAGCCCAGAGTCTGCAAGGATGACTGGGACCTGGAAATACAGGCAGGAAAGCAATGTCAGGGTGACCGAGTCCATGTCCCTGCAAAATATCCAACAGCTTGGGCACAGGTGTCATCTCTTACAAGTTCTTGTGGCTTGCAAAAACTCGTGGGTCCCCCATGGCTTGATCTGCAACATAACAGTAAAACATCTCAAGGTGAGTCCTTAACTCCTCAGCACAGCAAAATAGGTAAGAGTTAAGTGACAATTAAAGATCAGAATTAGAAGTTCTTATGTGAAGACCTGAAAAGCTTTTCAGTGAGTATCTTCTCTCCTCAGCTGCGGGGTGCACAAAGAACCA